GGGTTTAGGGTTTAGGGTTTAGGGTTTAGGGTTTAGGGTTTAGGGTTTAGGGTTTAGGGTTTAGGGTTGAGGGTTTAGGGTTGAGGGTTTTAAACCCCTAAGCCCATCGAAGCCCCAGGTAAGAAGCTCAGAGACTCCGGGCCGGCAACCCGAACTCACAAGTCCAGGGTTTAGGGTTTAGGGTTTAGGGTTTAGGGTTTAGGGTTTAGGGTTTAGGGTTTAGGGTTTAGGGTTTAGGGTTTAGGGTTTAGGGCGTAGGGTTTAGCGGGTGTTTAGGGTTTAGAGTTGTTTAGGGATTGGGGTTTGCCACGGAGCGTTCAGGTGGAAAGCTTCCTTTTGGTTTATGGCTTCTGTAACCGGTAGATATGAGAGGGCACGAACTGATGGACACAGAAGAAGCACCTGCCCTAAACCCCAGGCCCTCGGACCCCTTCCGGGTGTAGGGTTTAGGGTTTAGGGTTTAATTTAGGGTTTAGGGTTTAGGGTTTCGAGTGAAGCTTTCCGAAACTTCGAACACTGGGGCTGGTCCTCTGCCAGAGCGGCCTGCTGGATGGCATGCACGATGGCCTGGGTGTGTCAGGGACTCGGCTTTGGAGAGTTTAGGGTTTAGGGTTTAGGGTTTAGGGTTTAGAGAGTTGAGGGCTAACGTCCCTACCCACAAACCCGTAGCCCTACAACCTTACACCCGAACCTAGTTGCTGAGTACCCGGGGCCAAAAAAGGTTAACCTTTCAATTATAGTAGGATTACATATATATATATATATATTTATTTAAAAAGGTTAAGGGTTAGATGTTCGGCTACTAAGCTAAGAAGGCAAACGCAACGCATGCTTCAGGGGTGTGAAAGCTCGGAGGGCTTCTGGGCTTGCAGGTTGTTTTAGGGAGAGGGCTTATGGGATTTCAAGGGCTTTCAATGAAAGGCTTTAGGTTCAGGATTTAATGGGTTTTTTCAGGAAACATGCAAGACCACATACCACTATGAGTCGATGCTTATAAACGTAAAGCCTATGTAGAACCCTACCCTAAACCCTGAACTCTAAACCCTAAACCCTAAACAAAAACCGTAAACCCTAAACACAAAAGGCAGCTCGTTTTGAGGTCGAGGTCCAATTTCTTTTCAAGAGCCAGGACGGTTAAAGGTTTTAGGGTTCTAGGTTTTAGGGTTTCGCCCCCCCCCCCCCCCCCCCCCGTCCCAATCTTTATGAACCCCCTAAGACCACAACAAAAACGCGAAGGCCCTTGACCCTTCGACCAATAAGACCCATGAAAAGGGTCCTAGCCCTAAACCCTAAACCCTAAACCCTAAACCCTAAACCCTAAACCCTAAACCCTAAACCCTAAACCCTAAACCTTTGAAGAAGTGCTCCACTCTGAGCTGACGACTGCTTGCGCCCCGATGACCGTCGAGCTCTCAGAGGCCTTCGGCGTTGGGGTTTAGGGTTTAGGGTTTGGGGTTTAGGGTTTAGGGGTTTAGGGCTTAGGGTTTGGGGTTTAGGGTTTAGGGTTTACCCTAAACCCTAAACCCCAAACCCCAAACCCTAAACCCTAAACGACGGGCTTAGGACACCATTTAGGGGTATGTGCGAGTTTGGGAACGACGCAGGGTTTCGAGGTGCACGTGCTGGGGCGGGTCGAGGACGGATGTTGTTGGGGGCAGAAACCCAAAACCCTAAACCCTAAACCGTAAACCCTAAACCGTAAACCCTAAACCGTAAACCGTAAACCCTAAAACGTAAACCCTAAACCCTAAACCCAAAACCCAAAACCCCCTCGAGCACCACAAGCTTGAAGCACAGCAAGCGTTGCTTTATTGACCAGCTCTTGGAGTCTGGGGTTTAGGGTTTAGGGTTTAGGGTTTAGGCTGCGGATATTGCGGAGGGGCTAGCATGACAGGCCAGAATTGATTCGGAGCTTGGATCCATGATCAATGCTGCTTGAGTGCATCGTGCCTACACGTGAACTACTAATTACTAATTGCTTCAGAACCCCAGAAGCCCGAAAAATAAAGCAACTCTTCCTTATTACGGGCAATATAGGGAGTACTCTTTTTCTGTCTTCTGGGGGTTCTTGAGCAACCCTAAACCCTAAACCCTAAACCCTAAACCCTAAACCCTAAACCCTACTATTTGGGGGTTCTTGAGCAAATAGTTCTTAAGTGTCACTCTGCCTGCGCACGTCTCTCACAGACATCGCAGCATCGGAAAACCCTGGAGCCCGAAGCCATGAAGCTTCTGCAAGGGCCACAACTTGGGGTTTAGGGTTTAGGGTTTAGGGTTTAGGGTTTAGGGTTTAGGGTTTAGGGTTTAGGATGATAATAAGACCCCTAATTATAGACCCCCCCCCAAGTAGTAGGTTTAGGGTTTAGAAAATTTGGGGTTTAGGGTTTAGGGTTTAGGGTTTAGGGTTTAGGGTTTAGGATCCCCCTGAAAACTAAGGACCCCAATAACTAAACCCTAAACCCTAAACCCTAAACCCTAAACCCTAAACCCCAATAAGGTACCCCTAATACCGTAACCCCAACTCGGACAAACGATGGGGAGCCCTTCCCTTCGGCATCCCTATCATCCTCATGGAGCCCAACACCACCGGAAGCCAAAGAATGATCCCCGAAACCCTAAACCCTAAACCCTAAACCCTCAACCCTCAACCCTAAACCACAAACGTTGCACGTAGTTCGGAGTGCAGTGAGCGCATGGGTTGAACAGGTTTAGGGGCTAGCGTCTTATGAGGCTCTAGGGCACAATTCAGCCACCTTGCTGGACAATTTCCTCGATGCCCCTAAACCCTAAACCCTAAACCCCAAACCCCAAACCCTAAACCCTAAACCCCAAACCCCAAACCCCAAACCCCAAACCCCAAACCCCAAACCCTAAACCCTAAACCCTAAAAACCCTAAACCCTAAACCCTAAACCCCAAACCCCAAACCCCAAACCCCAAACCCCAAACCCTAAACCCTAAACCCTAAACCCTAAACCCCAAACCCAAACCCCAAACCCTAAACCCCAAACCCTAAACCCTAAACCCTACCCTGAACCGGGGGCCTCTTCGCCTGTAGCCGAGTCAGCTTTGGGCACGGGGAGCTGAAGCACCTAGGAATCACACGTCACCAGGCAACCCTAAACCCTAAACCCTAAACCCTAAACCCTAAACCCTAAACCCTAAACCCTAAACCGTTGTCACACAGCTAAACCCTAAACCCTAAACCGTTGTCTCAGAGCTTCTGGACTTCTTACCTTCTTCCCGCAACTACGAACTACGAACCCAGGGCCTTGCCATACAAGCGATTCCGGCTGCCACGCCCTAGTTTAGGGTTTAGGGTGGTTTGCTTCAATTCCACTCCATTAGCAAGAGGATTTGGTGATGGAGGATTAAGTTAAGCATATTGATGTGTTCGAGTTGCCTCTCCTATCGCCGTCCCCTAGGCAAAAGGGTACCTTTTCTTGCTTAAAGGGTAAACCCTAAACCCAAAACCCCCAAACCTCTAAAAACGGGAAGGTGGTCATCTGTCGGGGCCAAAGTCTCTGACAGCAACATGCGAAGCTGCGGGGACCAAAGCTCTTCGTGACTGCAAAAAAACCCTCTCTGAACCCCTGAGAATCCTGCAGAACCCTGAGCCTTCAGTCGCTACCTGTAGTTCCCAAACCTTTTTTCGGTATGGATTTTAAACAACTCTAAACACCCTAAACCCTGACTGACACCCTTAAGCCACTTGAGGCACAAGATCAGCACACTCCCCCAGCCATGACCTTGCAAGCTCATGCCTAGCCTTATGGTTTATTGGGCTTCAGGGTTTGTCGGGTTTTGGGTTTTGGCTTTAGTAGGAGAGCTACCACAAACAAGGGAAATCTACCCGGCATACAAGGTACGTTTTGGGCTGATGAACATCACGCGTGCCCTATGAGATTAATGTACAAATATTGAAGGCTAAACAAAGGGCCCGTATTTCATGAAGCCCGAAGCCCATATCCCAGAACCAACAGGTTTTTCTAGGTAAGGCATGGTCCTACAGGGTTCACCTTCGAGTAGTCTCCTAAACCCTCAGCTAAACCCAAAACCCTAAATCTTGTTGACCCTGGAATCCTAAATCCTTCATTAGCCGGAAGCCTTAAACCCTAAACCCTAAACCCTAAACCCTAAACCCTAAACCCTAAACCCTAAACCCTAAACCCTATAGACCCTGAACCAATTCTTGCACCCAGGCATGGTCTCGCCGAGATGCCCGGTAGGGCACATCACCGAAGGCTGCCGCCAGGACGTTATCGGCCACGACCTGGTTGGTGTTTAGGGTTTAGGGTTTAGGGTTTAGGGTTTAGGGTTTAGGGTTTAGGGTTTAGGGTTTAGGGTTTAGGGTTTAGGGGTTTCGGGTTTAGGGTTTACTCTTTTTTTCATGGGTTCCTCTACTACCTCCCTCTATAGGGTTTAGGGTTTAGGGTTTTAGGGTTTAGGGGTTTAGGGTTTAGGTCTTTTTCATGGGTTCCTCTACTACCTCCCTCTATAGGGTTTAGGGTTTAGGGTTTTAGGGTTTAGGGGTTTAGGGTTTAGGTTTTTTTCACGGGTTCCTCTACTACCTCCCTCTATAGGGCTTAGGGTTTGGGGTTTGGGGTTTGGGGGTACTACCCCTCTCTATACTTTCTCCCCGCTTAATAACCTCAATTGGGCTTAATTCTCCCTGAATAGCCTTAATGATGGGGGAACCTAGGGTGGGGTAGAAAAGAGAGGGGTAGTAGGGGAACCCATGAAGGTTTAGGGTTTGGTGTCTGTGGGTTTTGGGTTTGGGGCTTGAACCTGAATTCTAATAGCTCTTGAAGCTGGATTTGAAAAGTACTGTTCCAAGTGAGCGCGGTCGAAACTCTTTGGAGGTTCAGGGGGCACCTGGCATCGTGATCCCCTAAACCCTAAACCCTAAACCCTAAACCCTAAACCCTAAACCCTAAACCCTAAACCCTAAAACCTAAACCCTAAACCCTAAACCCCAAACCCTAAACCTGGGGCCACTACGGCTTCCGTGCCAAAGGTGGCGGAGAAGTCGGACTCTCCCACGCTCTGCTGGTAGTCCTGTGCTTGCGAAACCGTCAACCGTCAACCTAAACCCTAACCCCTAACCCCTAAACCCTAAACCCTAAACCCTAAACCCTAAACCCTGAGCCCTATATACCTAACCCACACAGCTTGTTGGCGTCATAGGGGTGCGGATTGCAAAGTTTAGGGCTTCACATTGACTCAGGTAGGGCTCAGGGTTTAGGATTTAACGCTAGTACTCAGGGTTTCTTAACCTGCAGCCTCAAAATCTCCTAAGCCCGAACCCAACAACCCTAAAACCCTAAAAGCCCTAAAGCCCTAAACCTGAAAGCCCTAAGACCCTTATGGTTCATGTAGGGTTTGGAGTTTAGGGCTTAGGGTCTGAGGCGTAGGCTCAGAAGGGGCACACGGGCACACTGAGTAATTTGCAACCGCCTCATTCCCTTCCGAGAAGTAGACTACGAGCCGTCAGGCTTCCGTTTCTGCCCAGAGACCGCAGCCCTTGGCTTTCCGAGCCTTCCAAACGGAGCCCATAAATGAGTTCCTGAAATTCTAAACCCAAAAAGGTCTCGCAGTTCCCCGCCCTCAACCCCCAAATCCCAAAAGCTCAGACCCTTATACTCTGAAATCCTCAAAGCCAAACCCCCAGATCGCAAACCCCAAAACCTCAGCTAGAATCCATACAGCGCCAAAGCCCTGATGCCTGTATCCTCGAACCTGAAAACCCTGAATGTGCCAAGCCTGAAGCCCCAAAGCCGCAAACGCCAAAACCTAGCCCCAAACCCCAAACTCTAAACACCCCCAACTCTAACCCCCCTAAAGCCCTCCGCCCCCCCCCCCCCCCCCTGCATAGCCCAGAGCTCTAAGGCCAGCTCGGAAGACTCGCCGGTCCCTGGTCTGGCAACCTCCTGTTTGCAAAGGAGTCGACCCCTCAAGGATGTGCTTTTTAAAAGGGTCCCCAAGCCCCAAACCCTAAACCCTAAACCCTAAACCCTAAATCCTAAGGGCCTTAGGGGTCCGAGAGAGGCTGCGGCGAGGCTTAGGATTTTCGAATCTAGAGTTCTAGGTTGGGATGTTCCCCCTTGTACGAACAGTCCTTAATAAGGACGAAAATGCCCCCTACAATATCCTCTCCCTAAACCCTAATCCCTACTAAGGACTGCTAGTATGAGGAGGAATCCCAAGTTGTAGGGGTCTCAGAGAGCCGCCAACCCCCCCCCCCCCCCTCCCCCCCCGTGCTTGAAAATAGAGGAATCTGCTCTAGGGCATTAGGGACCCTCAACCCTAAACCCTAAACCCTGAACCCTGAACCCTGAACCTAAACCCTAAACCCTAAACCCTAAACCCTAAACCCTAAACCCCAAACCCTAAACCCTAAACCCCTAAACCCCAATTCGGAATTGTTACATGCTAGGCGCCACCCCAAAGATCGCCTCCAGCTCTTCCGGCTCGGGGAAGAGGGGTGTGAGCCACGTGCCCACGGAGGGGAGCAGCTCGAATGGCGGCTCGCCAGCCTCGCAGCTTCTTTTCTGTGAGTTTAGGGTTTAGGGTTTAGGGTTTAGGGTTGAGGGTGGTATTGCTTTAAGGTTTTCAAGTAAAATTTGATTTTTGTTCTCGTGCTTTTGGGGCTTCATTCAGGGGCTTTGGTGTGCTTTAGCTGGGGGGGGGGGCTTTAGGGGTTGGCCTCCAATTTCCTAGGTGAAAAGGATCACAATCGGGAATAAACGGGGTTTCCCATCAGCAACAAACCTGTTTGGGGGTTCCCAGAAGCATCTTTGATATATATATATATATATATATATATATATATATATGCAATAAGTAAGGGGCACCGGCTATGTTAGGACATGCCTACTCCAATAAGATGATCAAGCACACTGAGTCCCCAAAGGCCTGCAGCCAGGATCACAAGCAACTGGTAGTGATAAGCAAGCCCGCGCCAGATGGACAGCCTAATTGTGAAGCCTAAGCCCTTAAACCCTAAAACTCTAAAACCCTTAAACCCTCAAAACCTGAAACCCTCCTAACCCTGCCCTGGATACAACGAACCCTTCCGGACCCCATGTGAGCCATGTGCCCTTCTGTTGGTTAGGGGATAGGATTAGGGGGACCCTTGGGGACATAGACCCTCTGAAGAAGGTCCCTGTTTAAGAGAGCCAGAAGAGGGTTAAGAAGGGGTTCCCTTTTAAGGGTCCCCCCATCCTACCTAAGACGGTTACCTGCTTGCCTCGGATGCGCCATCACCCAGCTCCTCGGCAACAATGCCCGAATCGTCCAAGTCGCCTTCAGCGCCGGCGAGGGTTTAGGGTTTAGGGTTTCGGGTTTAGGGTTTAGGGCGCCCTCGTGATCCCTTCCCCTGGTTGGGACCAGAGGGGCCCACCGGCGCAGCAGCTCTCCTAACTGAGATCTGCGCCAGTTTCGCCCTTGTCCTTCTTCTTGTCCTGCCCGCAGCCCGAGCAGACGTGCGCTACATGAGTCCAGACCATTACCGAACATGTCCCCCTTCAATCCCTTGTATACATGTAGAGGGATTGTATGGAAAGATAATGCAATTAAGCTGCCCAAAATACCATTCCTAAGTCCTAAGCCACTTCAAACTAAATAGTCCCCTGTTTCAGATCTTGCCTGCAAGGATTGTGGGGTGTAGATTTGGGCATCAGGCCAGGGTATCTTGAGGCGCCCACGCTTGAAGCCCCAACGAAGGAAAGCCAGTGTCAGCCTTAGGTAGTTTCGTGGCCGCTTCGTATGGGCCCTTAAAAAGGGGACCCCTTATATACCCCTTATATACCCTATACAACCCAAAGGCCCATACTTCACAACCCTTCAAAGACCATAGTAAGGGCCCATGAAACTACCCTAAGTGTCAGCAGGAGCTGTGCTTGCTAGGAGGCACGGAGGGAGAGAGGCAGAGAGCGGGGGGAGAGGGAAGGGAAGAGAGAGAGAGAGAGAGAGAGAGACAGACAGCGGGATAGGAACATCAAAGAGAAAAGGGGGCCGAAGAAGGCGAAACCAAATGAGAATAAAGATGGTGGGCTTGCTTGAGCAAAAGTCGGGGTCTGTTGGTCTAGCATTTAGGGTTAGGGCTTGGGGAATCTGACCCTCTCTGAGAGAAGGCAAGAGCTGCAGAAGACTTTCTTACCCCAAACCCTAAACCCTAAACCCCAAACCCTAAACCCTAAACCCTGAAGCCTAAAGACGAACTCTGGTGGCCTTCTTCTTCTTGTCCTTCTTCTTTTTGCCCTGCGTGGAGACGTTTTTTCATGAGGGTGACATCTAATCCGCCTCTCTTTACTTTAGGGTTTAGGGTTTAGGGTTTGGGGTTTAGGGCTTAGGGCATGTCACGCACATGCCCCCTCCCCCCCCCCCGGCCACCAAGAAGTGAACCACACAGACATACTTGTATAATGCAACAACTAATTCAATATGTATTCTAAACAGATAATGCGTATTATACTAACTTTCAAATGTTTAATAGACCATATCAGCAATACCTGCAAGGTCCTTCCGGGAGATCTTTAAGCACTTGCAAAACGCAGATTTGACTCTGACCGACTAAAGAAAGTCGTCTAGTTCAGGTATACCTGACAGGTGAGAGTACCCTAACCCTAAACCCTAAACCCTAAACCCTAAACCCTAAACCCTAGACCCTAAACCCTAACCCCAACCCACAAGATACACCCCCCAAAACCCCATGCTTCTCCCTGCTGGTCCTCCCATACCGTAAACCCTAAACCCTACACCCTAAACCCTAAACCCCAAACCCTAAACTCTAGCCCCCCATAGTGAGCTGTGGGAAGATGGGAAGAAGCCTCGTCGTCCCCGTCTTCATCGCCTGGGTTTTAGGGTTTGGGGTTTAGGGTTTAGGGTAAAATATACTTTTCTTACTCTCCATGGGTACTTCTCAAAAATGAGGGTCCCTTTTGGGTCCTCATTGTCAGGGTGCTGTACTATATATATATATATATATGACCATAAAAGCGACGCCAAGAGAACTTCTCAAATCAGGAATGGCCTCAGCGATTGGAGGCTACTGGTATTGGTATGTGGGTGGGGGAGGGGGGAGGAGCCCGCCAGAGCTGACGCATGTACAGGGCTGAGGATTATAGGAGAAGTGTCAGGGCCAGGAAACTCAGAAAGATTAATATAGGGGCCTTACTAATTAGAATAGGGTTCTGGAGGTTATGATTATATATTTATTAAGGGACCAAAAGGGAATACCAGTAGTAATTATTCCGGCCCCTATAGTACCGTGTCCACTCTTCTACCACTCGCCCACTCCGGGCTCGCCCTACTTCAAACGGCTGCGTTGCCGGGTGGGGCCCAGCATGCCGCATACAAAGTGCGCAAAAGCTTTGCCCTGAACCCCCGAACCCTAAACTGCGGTGTCCCTCCTCCAGACCCCTTTTCTCAAGGTAAAATATCCCCTAAATCATCGTATGATCGTGCGTATAATCTTGGAGATGCTCCTAAGTTGGCTTTTACTCCCGTTGGAACCATCATTGAGCAGAGTATGTTGAAACTATTCTGTTGGTATGTATGTATGTATATATATATATACACGTAATTATAAATAAATAACTAAATAAATAAGACATATCTATACATATATATATATATACTTAGCAAATAAATAAATAAATATATATATATATATAAGCGAAAACACATGATGCATTTACCAAGGGGGCCTATGTATCGAGCGATTTTGGAAGCTCTGGGTAGGAAGGAAGACTTTCAACTGCCAAACTTCGGCGAGGGCGTCCGGCCAGTGATTACTTGGCTGTGCTTTAAAACCCTTAGAAACTTAGTTTATGAACAGGTTCCCTTACAAGGAAAGAACAGTTTTCAAATGTTATCCCTTGGGATGTTCCCCCTTATGCGACCAGTTCTTAAAAAGGATCATCGTGCTCTTCTAAGGAAGAACCTTCTTGTCTGGTTCTTAAGCACTTGGTAGCAACGCAAGCCTAAACTCTAAACCCTAAACCCTAAACCCTAAACCCTAAACCCTGTAAACCTCAAAAAACAAGATCTGCGGTCTGTGGTCGAAGAGGAGGACCGGCTCGATTCAAGAACCAAAGACGTTGCAGAGCGTCTTGCACATCCCTGGTCCATGTTGCCCCTAAACCCTAAAATTGGGGTTTAGGGCCCTAAATCCTAAACCCTAAAGCCTAAACCCTAAATCCTAAACCCTAAATCCTAAACCCTAAATCCTAAACCCTAGACCCTAAACAGTGACTTTAGCATCTGCTTCTCTGAGTCTCGGCGACTTTGTTGTGCGAATCAGCTCCGGGAACCTTCGGCCCCTGAACCGCTCAACCCTGCTAAAAGTGGCCAAGGTTTAAGCTTTAGGGCCCTAGACCCTAAACCCTAAAACCCCTAAGGGTTTAGGGCCCTAAGCCTTAAACCCTAATACCTAAACCCTAGAGGGGGCGTGGGACCGGGATAAGAGGGGGAGAACTCCAAAGTGGACTTCCAACCCTTAACCCATTAGACTCTAAACCCTAAACCCTAAACCCTAAACCCTAAACCCTAAACCCTAAACCCTAAACCCTAAGGCTTTAGGGGTTTCGGGTTTAGGTTTTCGGGTTTAGGGCTCTCAAGTCTTGAGCCCTATTGAAGGTAGACCTTTCAGCTGAGACTCCCTTGCCCTTCTTCTTCTCCTGCCGAGGTTTAGGGTTTAGGGTTTAGGGTTTAGGGTTTAGGGTTTAGGGTGTAGGGTTTAGGGTTTAGGGTTTCGGGCTTAGGGTTTAGGGTATCCTTGCACTGCGCCCCTAAACCCAAAACCCTCGCGGTTGAGATGATCGATCTGAGGGTGGATCTTGTATAATAACTTGTATACATTGTATACATTGCCTGCATCCGTCTAGCTTGGGTTAAGGGCTGAGTGTTTATAAATTAAGGACTATGGGTTTAGGGGCTTAGGGTTTAGGGTTTAGTGAATCTGAAGTGCAGAACAGAAAGCCATCGCCGGTGGACAAATCTTCTGACACATCCGCTTCACACGCCTTCTTCTTCTTGTCCTTGTCCTTTTTCTTCTTTTTGTCTTCCTGGCTTTTCCATCCCGCGCTACAAGCCGGCTCCCCAAAAGAGGAAATCCTAAACTAAGCCCTGAACCCTGCCTCGGACCCTGAACTGCAAACACAGCTGATTCTCTCGCCGAGAGCTTTCAAAAACCCCTTGTAATTGATGACCCTAAAGCCTACACCAAGATACACGCAGGATCCTCATATGCCTCAACTGATTAATCTGATTGGCAGAAATCGTGGTAACTGTCAGATGAAAAGGACTTAGGGGTTTTGGGTGCACAGCAAGCAAGCAGCACCTCCTCGTGCTTGGTCTTTGGTGTCCTCAAGGAAGTATTCAAGTCATGTTACAACGAAACCTGAATCAAGAAAAGGGTTTAGGGTTTAGCGTTTAGGGTTTACCCTAAACCCTAAACCCTAAACCCTAAACCCTAAACCCTAAACCCTAAACCCTAAACCCTAAACCCTAAACCCTAAACCCTCACCCCCTCCCTCACCTCATGTCTTGCAGCTGGACGCACTGAATAACTTCACAGTCATTGCCGCGTGTGCTCATAACCCCTATGTTCTGACGTTCTAACTGCCCTCAAAACCCCTACTACGATTCAACTGCCCAGAACATTCAAGTAAATAACCAAGCCGAAGCCTAGTTAAAGCTACCCGTGAATCTTGTGGTAATATCAACCCTAATTAAACCCTAAACTCTAAACCCTAAACCCTGAACCCTAAACGCGTAAACCCCAAACGCGTAAACCCTAAAGCCTAAACCCTAAACCGTAAACGCTAAACCCTACTCAGTCTTGATGGGCACTTGGGGGTAAAGCGTACCGAAGTCCAGTCTGTTGTGGTTTAGGGCTTGGCAGAAGGCCTGAACCCTTAGCCCTAAGCCATAAACCCTAAACCTATAGACCTAAACACACTATAAACCTTCCCTAAACCCCAAACCCTAAACTCCAAACCCTAAACCCTAAACTCTGAACCCCTACAAAACCCTGTGAGCCCAATGAGCTCTGCAAGGTTGGCTAGAGGTGGGGGGTTAGGGTTTAGGGTTTCGGGTTTAGGGTTTAGGGGTTATAGGGTTTAGGCGTGAGGCGTTAGGCGTCAGGGGTTCGGGAGTAGGGGTTTAGGAGCTTGGATTTAGGGTTTGGGGGGTTTAGGCGGTTTAGGGTTTAGGGGGTTTAGGGTTTCGGGTTTCGGGCGTTTATTTAGGGTTTAGGGCGTTTAGGGCGTTTAGGGCGTTTAGGGCGTTTAGGGCGTTTAGGGCGTTTAGGGCGTTTAGGGCGTTTAGGGCGTTTAGGGCGTTTAGGGTTTAGGGTTTAGGCTTCCGTCCAAGCACTACAAAACCCCCAGCCGCGGCCAGGGAACTTCGAGCTCGGCTTGCCAAGCGACGTGTCCTTTGGTGGATGTGGGGCACCCCCCTCTCTACCTCCACCCACAATAGGGTTTAGGGTTTAGGGTTTAGGCTTTAGGGTTTAGGGTTCATAGGATTCAACCAAACAAGCCATACCGGATTCGGGCTTGGGGTTGATAGGGTTTAGGGTCCTTACTTGAGGGTTGAAGTCGGGCAAGCCAGTTGGGAACAGCAACTGCCCGCTGGTGGCCACCCATGAACTGCAAGTAAGGGCTTCGGGTTAAGGGTTAAGGGGGTTTAGGGGTTAGGGTTTGGGATTTATTGCTCTAAACCCTCAATCACCCGGTCACAGGCGTGGTCCGAAGCAAGTAGCTCACTAACCCCCCATGAAGGGCAGGCGGGAGGTCTTGGCTGAACAAAGCGCTTATGCAGTCAGCCTGCAGAACTGCACTGGGGATTTGTGGGCTAGCGGCCCACAAGGGACTGCAATTCCCAGCTGTCAAAATGCGCCTATCAACCTCGAAACCCTACACCCTAAACCCTAAACCCTAAATCCTAAACCCTAAACATCCCTAAACATCCGTAAACATCCCTAAACCCTTAAGCCTTTCATGCGATCCGAGCGACGATGGCATCGGCGACCTGCGTGCCGCCCTCATGCACCACGTCGCCGCCGCGAGAAGCCCGTCGATCCTCCCGTGCGCACGCAACCGGCTGAGGCTCTGCAGGTAAACGCCCTAAACCCTAAACCCTAAACCCGTGAACCCTAAACCCTAAACGCGTAAAACCTAAACCCTAAACCCTAAACCCTCAACCCGAAACCCTAAACCCTAAACTCCCGCATCGGATGGAGCTCCTTCTTGCCGTCTTCGGGGAGCCGATCGGCGCTCGCCGACCGCGCGGTGGGCCGCGCGCGCGGCTTCGCCCTTGCGGCCACCTTCGCATGAAGCCCAGTACTACTAGGGTTTAGGGTTTAGGGTTTAGGGTTTAGGGTTTAGGGTTTAGGGTTTTAGGGTTTTAGGGTTTTAGGGTTTTAGGATTTAGGAAGAACCCCCCCCCACCTCTAAAAAAGAGGATAAAACATTTAGGGATTATTGTTCTTTGCTTTTTGAGGGGTTCGTAAGCAAATAGTAGAATACTACTTGCTGCAGAAGCTAGGGTCTAGCATGGGTAGACTAAGCTCTAGTAGGAATCCCAGTACAGACTAAGGAGCATTCTCCATACAGGGGAACAGCAACCCTAAACCCTAAACCCTAAAACCTTAACCCTAAACCCTAAGCCCTAAATCCGAATTCAGGGTTTCGGGCTTAGGGTTTGAAACTAGAATGTGAGGATCCTTGGCATGAACATGTCCCTTAGTATGAACTTAGGCTCTCTGGGTTCGTCAGAAGGCTTAATTGGGGTTCGGGGGGTTCAGCGCGGATGGCTCAGTATCCGGTTTAGGGCTTATGGTTTAGGGTTCCGGGTTTAGGGTGATGTGAACACCTGTCTTGTAGAACTCTACGTCCCGGACACACCCAGCAACAAAAAGGGTACCCTCTGTGTTGAATCGGGCTTTCATAGCTTAGTTGTCCAGTATCCTGGGGTAAGTAAAGGTTAACCTTTGGGATGATAAGGGGAATAGAATACCCCAAAAAGGACAAAGGTTACCTACTCTACTACTAAGATAGGGAACCTAACCCTAAACCCTACACCCTACACCCCAATGGGCTCACTCTTGGTCCCAGGTGGCAGCTGTGAAACTGATTAAAAGTTGTGTTGAGTGTTGTTCTACACGATCTTCCTAGCCTGCTCGCCCAGGTAAAGCAGACTTCTGAATTGGAGGCACACAGCACCACAAGCATGCTGTGACAACTGTCATCATAGCAAGAGTGACTGACGTTGACAAAGGTCTATGCTTGGAATAACCTTCCCCAAAAGCCAAAGCAAGATAAATCTCCAAAGCATAGAACCCCCCAACCATGAACGTCGCGTTTGCAACAAGGCACGTGCTAAGCAGCACCCGTGCGAGTATGCCGTCGCACAGGTTGCGGACGCTGTAGGCCAGTCGGAGTGACACCAGCACTATTGATGGAAGGAGCATCAGCCAATACAAGCTCACAGCGACTGCACCACGGATCCATACACCTTCAAAGACCCGGTCTAGCAGGAACCAGGCTACAGGGGATGTTGCCTGCAGGATTCGCCAGTACGAAAAGGTGCGGTTGGCCAGCTGATGAACCAGTTGCCTCAGCAAGTCTGTGCGTACCATCCCCTCAAACTGCTCTTGGGACCCAAACCAGGCGGAGATGCACTCCAAGATGATGTCACGGTCACACAGAATACGTTGACCTGTGCTGGTAACATGTTGACGTGCACAGCACTGGCTGGTGGCATGCTCGGTGGTGAAGCGATGTAGTTGGTACCTCGGCCAAGTGACGGACTTGCCCCGCTGTTTTTTCGCTTCATGAAAAACACGACACAAAAGTCTTGCTGAATTGGTGCCCCGGCGACTGCATTACTTCAATGCTGCGGCAGTGCAGCAGAACTATATACGCGAGAGATGTCAAGCACAGAAGCATCAGAGCAGCACAGACGAGGACAACTCCGCCATTGAGATGTAGGTGAGAAGTGTCCACTTCCGCAATGCTGAGAATAAGAAGCATCAAGGTCAGCCCCGCATGGCCACATAACAGTGCTGGGCCTACAAAAACCGGACACACCTCAAGGGTCTTGCTTGCGCAAAGCCGTTGGGTGTGCATGAACCCGGCCACTTCAAATAGGCACCAGAGTCTTGTGACGAAGCTGACGTCCCAAAAAACCACAAGGGACTTGGATGCCCTCAAGAATGCACCCATGCTCATGAGACCCTGTACTTTTTTAATCGGGTCCACCTGGTCCACGCATGCCACATCTAGGAACACCTGCGCCCTCGGACACCACACGAGCAGAGTCGAGTAGTAGCCCACAGCCCCAGCCATCATGCAGGCACCATGCCAGTGAAGAACGCCAGTTCCTTGCAAGGCACAGGCCACCAGCGCACTGAGTGTGCCCAGCACGAACGCTGCAAGACCATTGCTTCTATAGAGGATGCTTGCATACTTTAGCCCAGGTCTCGTTCGCCAGCTGTGCGACCAAAATTCGTCAAGCTTGGTTGTGACCTGGCTGCGTCCTTGGAGCCGTCTGAGATCTCCATGCATCCACGCGCCCGGAGAGTTGCGCAGCACTCGCGACGCTCTGATCCCCCGGAGGATCTCTGCATGTATGGGCTGCATCTGAGACATCAGCGTAACGCAGCTTGGGATGACCGCGCGCTCAGGCTCGTCTAAGGCCGCAGACGCCGCGGAGTGCAATACATCTTCGCTGAACTCCGAGAGGTTTTGAGGCTCCGGAGTCGTCACTGGATATTCATTCGGTACGCCTAGGTTCACCTCCAGGCTATTGTCGGACATGGCGGGCTCTTTGGACAAGCTCTTCACCGGAATGTCTTTTTCTTACTCAACCGTGTGGTCGCGGTCCTGCCGGCCATCGTCCCGACTTTCCTGAGAACTCATCCCTAAAGAATTGTTATAGGGTGCAACTGACGCTAAGGCTTAGGAAGCCCTAAATCCTGTTGCTGTCCTGTTGCTCCTGCTGCTAGGAAGTACGAGGTCTTGCAAAGATGAACCTTGGAAAGCTTACATCCCCTAAGCCCTAAAACCTTAAACCCTAAACCCTAAACCCTAAACCCTCTTTGCTGCACCTGTTTAAGCAGTTTAGTGTCCGGAGGCTCATGCGCACTTGTGGTTACAAGAAGGCTGACTGTCGCGGTAGCTGGTTGTGGTTCTGGTTCTTTCAGGTCTTCAGTTTATTATGTTTTCCTTCACTTCGAACATAATTACCCTAAACCCTGAATCCCACATTCGCAGCCATTTTAGCAGGCTTTTTTAGGCTTGGTAGCCCAGTAACCATATTACAATAAGGGCACACCTTTTGGGCTTGGATACTTTATACGGGAAACCAAAACAAAAAAGGGCAAAAGGTACCACTGGGCTACCAAGTAGAGCACTACAGGGAATGCATTGTGGGATGTGGGTGTTGGGATAGCTGGGTTTAAATAGGGTGTAGGGTTTTAGGGTTTTAGGGTTTTAGGGTTTTAGGGTTTTAGGGTGTTAGGGTTTTAGGGTTTTAGGGTTTTAGGGTTTTAGGGTTTTAGGGTTTTAGGGTTTTAGGGGTTTAGGGTTTAGGTAAAGGGTTCTTAAGAGAGGGGGGTTCATGGGGGCTAGGCACCGAGGGAACCTCAGGGAGCCTTAGGGAGCAGTGGGGAGTATTAGGGGCTCGCAAAACCCTAAACCCTAAACCCTAAACCCTAAGCCCAAAACCCAAGCGCGCAAAAAAACCTGGTGACTTGGAGGTGCGGATGCTGTTTTCGCGTGGGTTTTTGCTGCTCCAACACAGTCTGTATGTACATTTTCCTGGGACGCGAACAATTAGGTTAGGATGCCCCACAGCAAGAAACACTGTCAAAACCGATGCTTTTTAAACTTTTATCTTGTGAAACTACAAATACAGAAGTAAACATGACTCCTGTCACTTCGGGCGTTCTAGTGAAAGGCCGCAGCGGCGGCAGCATGGTGTTTTACGATGTTGTTTACGAAATGCGCACGAGGGTCAGTTTTGTGCTTTTTCTTGTTTGTTTTCATGTTGCTTCTGCTGGCAGTTGTTAGTGGATCGGCGTCATGACGACACACCGTTTGCATAAGCCTTGTGACGGTGCATCTTGTTGCAGAAACGTCAAACATCCTGGTGCAGCATGTTGTGAGAGGAGCAAAAACGCACTAAAAATGCGGTGTTTTGGGCATGGATAGAGTAACATGGTCGTAACCAACCCCCCCCCCCCCCCCCCCCCCCCCCCCACCCGCCCCCAAACCCCAAACCTTTCCAAAAGTCCACGAAACAACCAGGTTTTTCACACGCCTGCTTCCCATTAGGGAACCTTGCGTCACATACCCCTCGTGAACTCCCTCCCCTAAGAACCCTGTAAAATCAACCTGGCGAATTAAAAGAAATGGGTGCTGTTTTGGTTTACAAGGGTTTGGCAGGGAACTAGGCCCAAAAAAACAGTTTAGGGTTTAGGGTTTGCGTCTTAGCCGTTGATGCTGTTCCGGATGGTCTTGGGTTTAGGGTTTGGGGTTTAGGGTCTAGGGTTTAGGGTTTAGGGCTTAGGGTTTAGTGGGATTCTCCGGATTGGGGGGGGGGGGTGGGTAAGAGACCGGTGAGAAGCACCACCTCGACACCGCACGAGGGGCAATAAAGCACCCAACCCCCAAACCCCAAACCCCCAAGCCTAACCCTAAACCCTAAACCCTAAAGCCTAAACCCTAAACCCTAAAACCCTAAACCCTGAACCCTAAACCCAGTGCCTTGGGCAAGGAGAAGCTCCGCGAAGCCACGCGGATGTTGACGTCCGGGCCGAGCTTTGGATCCCGCTCTTGCAGGATCTTACTGTATGACCTGAGGCTTCAGGGTCTGAAACCCCAAACCCTAAACCCCTAACCCCTAAACCCTAAACCCTAGGTTTGGCTTTACTGGGAGGTTCATCTTTACTTATCACTAGGGTTCTAAGTACCCTAAATAAGGAGTTTTTGAAAATAGCTAACCCTACTTATAACCCTACATATACGTACCCATGCACCTCCAAGTAGGGTTAAGTTGTAGGGTTCCTGAGGCCCTAAACCCTAAACCCTGGGGGGTAAGTACCTAGGGAAGCTTAGGGGCTTAGGGAGCCTTAGGGAGTAGTGGGGAGTATTAGGGAACCTTGGGTTACCTACCCCGCCTTGAACGCCCCTCCCTTACCCTAAACCCGAAACCCTAAACCCCAAACCCCAAACCCATTTAGGGTTGAGGGCTCAGCGCGCAGGGTTTGCGGCTCATGGGACTTGGGGCTACTGCCTATACCACACATTATAGCTGAGTTGTCCAGTACCTAGGGGGACTAAAGGACAACCTTTGGGATTATAAGGAGATTATATTACCCCCAAGTTTCTTGAAGGTTACCTACTATACAACTAAGATTTGAAATCTAACAAAAATAAAAGCAAGTGCCTACTCCAGAGTTTAGGATTAACACGGTTATGGGCTCGGGCAAGGCCGTTTAAAGATTAAGATGGGTCCTGTTTTGGTTTAGAGTTCAGGGCCTGGGCTTGTGTACGAAGCTTTCAACCAATAGGACCCCAAAACCCTGAACCCCTAAACCCTAAACCCCGAAACCCCAAACCCTAAGCCCTAAACCCCATTCCCGGAAACCCTAAACCCACAAACCCTAAACCCAAAAACTTTAAAACCCGAAAACCCTGGCCCCCTAACCCCTACACCCCTAAACACCAACCCCTAAACCCCTACACCCCTAATCCCCCAAAACCCTTGAACCCTAAACGGCCTGAACCTCTAAACCCTAAACCCCTACTTAGTTGCTGAGTTCATAAGCCCCCCAAGAGTTCTATAGGGGTTTACAGTATCCCAAAAAGTGTACAGTGCACTGACTCAGCTACTAAGCCTAAAGCCTTAAACTCTAAACTGAAGCCCCCTAGCCCTAAACCCTAAACCCCAAACCCTAAACCCCAAACCCCGAACCCTAAACCCTAAACTGAAGCCCCCCCCTACACAAGTTTGCGCCCGGCAGCCGGACCCAATCCGCCTTTTGGATGGAAGCGTCCTGGTGCTTCCAAAGGGGGGCTTCGAAAGTTTAAAGGGGGCTTAAACCCTGTTAAGGTTTTAGGGTGTGGGGGTTAGGGTTTAGGGTTTGGGGTTTAGGGTTGAGGACCTGTCATGTCTCATAGCGGGCTGGGGCAGATGGCTGGGGAGGTTGGGTGGTGGGGGCTTGGGGGTTTGCTCAGAGCCCAGAGCCAAAACCCTGCAACCTCGCACCCTGCCCCCCCCCCCCCCCCCAAGCATCCTAAACCAAACAGCCCAAAGCCCACACGCATTAAATCCATCATGAAACCCGAAACACACTAAACCCCATGCGCCCTAAACCCCCCAAGGCGCCCGGCCCGCCAGTCCCTGAACCCTGAACCCTGAACCCTAAACCCTAAACCCTAGACCCTAGACCCTAAATCCTAAACCCTAAACCCTAAACCCTAAACCCTACACCCTAAACCCTAAACCCTAAACCCTAAACCTACTTGGTGGGTCAGGGTTTAGGGCTCAGGGCCCAAACTGTGCTCGCAAAACATCCCTTGAAGGACGAACCTAAAATCCTAAACCCCAGGCCCTCCACCCGATGCATTATAAACCCTATCCCAGCCAGCCTTGCAGTAAACCCTAAACCCTAAACCCCAAACCCTCAACCCTCAACCCTAAACCCATTGTTGGTGTACTTGGCGAACGGTTGTACAAAGGGAAGCTGTCAGCTGCATCGTGAAGCAAAGAGCGGTGCAGGGAGTTGGACACACGGCTTAGGTACAAGTAGGGTTTCACATTCCAGCCTTCTAAACACAATTTCTTATGTGTGCACGTGTATATACAGACATATCTTCAGAGCAACCCAACTGCTATGCCCAGCCAAATACGGTTCATATTCCTTGTATCCCAAAAGGACATACGTGTGTATATATATATATGTGTGTGTGTGTGTCTACACGCACCAATATTTGAAAGGAACCGTAGTTACACTCACCCACAATGTATAGCCCTAATATCATGTGCCTCCCTCCCAGCTTTGGATCGAGGGCTTGTGGGAGCGGAGTCGAAACCACTGGACCCTTTACCCTACAACCCTACAACCCTACAACCCTAAAAAGCTAGAACCCTCAAACCCTCAAACCCTAAAACCCTCAAACCCTAACACCTACCCAAAAACGCCCCGCGCAGGCTTTAGGGTGCAGGGTATGGGGGAATGAGGTACCCTTGTATCCCCCATGTGTATACTCTTTAGGGGATTATATTCGGGTACCTCATTCCCTCCTTCCCTACTAACCCTAAACCCCAAACATCCTTAAACCCCAAATCCTGCACCCTGAGCCCTAAACCCTAAACCCTAAACAGCAAGTAGGGTGCAGGGTGGGGGAGGTGTCCAGCATCTTCGCAGCACACCAGGCGGGCGATGTCTGGTCGAAGGCCTGGTGAGGTTCTGGGCTTTTAAGGTTTAGGGTTAGGGTTAGGGTTTATAGGGTTTAGGGTTTATAGGGTTTAGGGTTTAAGGGTTAGGGTTTAGGGTTTAGGGGTTTAGGGGTTTAGGGGTTTAGGGGTTTAGGGGTCTAGGGGTTTAGGGGTTTAGGGGTTTAGGGGTTTAGGGGTTTAGGGGTTTGGGGTTTAGGGTTTAGGGCTTAAGGTCTGGGGCTTTAGGGTGAAGCGGTTTACTTGGAGGTTCAATGGTACTTAATAACCCTACTATAACTGCACGTATAACCGAATTGTAACCCTGTTTGTTGCCGCCTTCAACCTGAGCCACCGAAACCTCTTGTTGTGGGGT